CATAAAAAATGTACAGAAAATAATTTTGACAAAAGTTCGGGGAAATTTTAGACTTAATGGGCATATTTTGGCTTTAGATTCTAGCTGGAAATGTATTGAATGGTGCGATAGTAAAATTGACGTTGGAAGGGATAGCGACAATCGACTGGAGATTAATTTCCCCCACTTATGACACTGTTTCGTGTTTATATTGTGCCGTGGCTAATACCCAAATATATATGTATCCTTGGGAATTTCGTGAGCTCAAAATTATTTCCATTAACACAATTGAAGTGATATTCGTTTGAAACACACAAGAAAGAATTACAATCAAATGTGACTGGATAAGTTATTATTTCCCTAAAAAAGTTATTTTTTCCCAAAAAAATTAATACCGGACAATTATTTCCAAAAAAAAAATTGCCAAATAATTTTGAAAAAAAAGTATTTTTCCGAGAGATTTTTTCCAAAAGATTTTTTCCAAAGGAAAAAAGTGCGGACACCAATATTTCCGTCAATAACACGGTTCGACAAAAAAACGCTTGGCCCGCAGGATAGAATCAAGTGCACTTCGTAGATTTTTATACGTAAATTCAGGATCTGGCCTTGTTTTGTCTCTAACACGTCTAGTTTTTGAAAAAATAAATATTTAAGTTGCCGAAATGGCCGAAAATGCACGTCTTTGACATTTAATAATCTGGTGATCAGGAGAAGTTATAATCCAGCAAAAATTGAGAAAAAAATACAAAATCTAATGAACAAACTGGTGTTTCAGGATTTTCATTTGAATGGATGGAAATGGAACTAAAAAAATGTAATGAAAATGAATTTTCGCTACTTTTTAGGGTTATTGAGTGTTTTTTATTTTGTTCGATGTAGTTATCGAATGTCATAATGAATTAGGTTAAATACTTGTTCATGAAACCAATACCAATATTGCAGAATATTAGATTAGGTGTTCATCCCCCTAGTCAAAAATACAGGAGCGTTTCAGTTATAAAATAAATAAGTTTTATTTAATTTCAGAAAAGATTGAACGTTAAGTAATATGAAAATCAAATTCATTGCAATTGGAGAGAAAGTACATGAGGGATTTTTATTCGTCAATCACTTTGGATCGCCAGGGTGAAGTTGAATGAAATTTTCTCCATTTCCAAGCGCTCTACATGAGCTGTATTTTTGACTAGGGGGATGAAAACCTAATCTAATATTCTGGAATATTTGTATTGGTTCCATGAGCAAGTATTTAACCTAATTCATTACGACATTCGATAACTACATCGAACAAAATAAAAAACACTCAATAACCCTAAAAAGTACCGAAAATTCATTTTCATTACATTTTTTTAATTCCGTTTCCATCCATTCAAATGAAAATCCCGAAACACCAATTTGTTCATTAGATTTTGTCTTTTTTTCTCAATTTTTGCTGGAATATAACTTTTCCTAATCACCAGATTATAGAATGTCAAAGATGTGCATTTTCGGCCATTTCGGCAACTTAAATATTTATTTTTTCAAAAACTAGACGTGTTAGAGATAAAACAAGGCCAGATCCTGAATCTCCGTATCAAAATTTATAAAGTGCACTTGATTCCATTCTGGGGGCAAATACCAACGGTTTTTTTTGTCGAACCGTGTAATTGAGGTGGAGAGCTCCGGTTGCGGTCATTTTTCTTGCTTCGGACTACACTTTTTGATAAAGAATAGAAAACAACTTTAAAAATTTAGAGGCAATTCAACTTATGACGGATTCTCTGTGGACCTTTGTTTTCAAGGTCTCCAAAAATCTGAAAAATATCTGAACTTTCATACTCATTAAAGGTACTCTCTGTGAATTTCCAGATTTTTTCAAGCATCTGTGGTAGAAATAAATGGATCCGAAGAAATTAAAAAAAAAATCGATACCTGGGTAAGTTGACCACCAAAAAGTAAATTTGGGACAAAAATTTTGGGTTTTTACCTGAATTTTCCAAATAAAATTTTCATTGTAGGTAAAAAGCGGGTATGAAAGGCTTGAACGAAAAAAAATTATTATAAAAATTCCATTTTTACGCATTTGGATATTTTTGTTTTTCTTTAAAAAAAATGTGATATGATGATTCAAACTCAAGATTTATTCATGGAAATGGAAATGCGACGGCGTAAACTTCGGAGAAAAAATAGTATATTGTGTCATTAGGACCGTAGACGGAGGTTTGCGATGAGTGTGAAGTTAGCAGCACGAGGCGTCGGTAAGACAGGACGAATCGCAAACCGACGTCACGGTCCGTATGACACATACTATTTTTTGTCATGAAGGCCCGTTGAAGGTGAGGGGGAGGGGAAGGGGAGGGGGCGCAGAAGCGGGGTCCAGGGGCCACAGGCCCCGGGGGGGGGGGGTGGGGGGGGCGAAGCCCCCCCCACTGTAGAAAAACGAAATGACAAGTGAAGAGAAAATATTGAAGAAAAAGAGATGCAAAATCCTAAATTGAGATTCGAAAGAACGAATGCAAAAGTTGTAATTCACGGAGTCTGTCAAAAACATTCAAAAAACATCTAGATGAGAATGGAAATCTTCCTCCTCCTGAAATGGAAATTGCAACAAATTGAAAGAATAAAAAGAAGGATTAATCATTTTTCTAAATTTATTCTCATGAGAAAATCAACGTGTGAACATCTACAGTTTACAACTTTTCTTTTTCATCGTTCCTCTTCTTCTCACAACATACTCAAATTTTTCATCACATTTTAATAGAAATATATATATAATCTATTCAAAATAGATATATAACGAGAAAGTGAATATAATCTCTTTATTAAACTAATATTTTGACAATATAACCCTCAAGTTACGACTGACTCCCTAGCAACGGAATAACAACTCCTGATGTCATCGGCAATGACGGTGGCGCATCGTATTAGTGGTGAACGATCCGCCGAGTTTTCAAGCAAGTGACAGCGATAACCGCACACTTCATGTTGTATTCCTACGAAGGTTTTGTGGGTTGCCCATCTAGAAACTGTATGTTTTTATTGTCCTAGGGCTGCTAACTCGAGTTAACCATACCTGTGCTTCGTTTAACGGACCTGGTCTGTTAAACGCCATTTAGCTTCCCTCAAGACAGCTATAGTAGGCGCTACCTAACGGGCCTGAATGACGAAAAATAATATTAGGTCATTTTTGACTTTGTCATCAATACTAATATTTGTACTCAATCCCTAATGACACCTAACGTCATAAAAAAAATTTCAAATTATTCTCGCAAATTGTTCTTGTGAAAGCGAATCACACTCCAGTTTGAAAGTTTCTAACTTTTATATGGAACTGTTGGTGAGAAGAATTTGAATTTTTTTTTATGATCTTGGGTGACATCAAAGATTCAGCCAAAATGTTAGTATTGATGACAAAGTCTAAAATTACCGGTGATTATTTTTTTCCTCCGAAGCTTACGCCCGTCCCATTTTCATTTTCATTGATAAACTTCGAATTTGAATCACCATATCACCCAATTTTTTTTAGAAAAACAAAAAAGTCCGAGAGCGTAAAACGAAATGTTCGGGATAATTTCGGAGTTTGAACCCTCTACCCCCGCTCTTTACCTACCATAAAAAATTTATTTGAAAAATTTAGGTGAAAACCTAGATTTTTTGTCCCGAACTTTTTCTTCTCTGAGGCCAATTTCCCCAAATATCTATTTTTCTTCGAAATTTCGTCGGATCCACTTATATCTACCACGGATGGTTGAAAAAATCTGAAAAAATTTACGAGGAGTAATTTTAGTGAGTATAAAAGTCCAGATTTGTTCAGATTTATTGGAGACCTTGAAGAAAAAAAGGTGGCTGGATTCACAGAAAATCCGTCATATATAGAATTGACAGATTCGCTCAATATTATCATTTATTTTTTTGCAATCAAAATATCAACTCTTTCTAATTGGAAACTCTTCAACTTCCAAAAAACATGTTTTGGCTTTTTTCACTCACACTCCTAAATTTTATATACCCCTCTAATTATAGTTTGTGTCATTTGAATTCCACATTTTATAATTTAGATTTACAAGTTTGAATCGTATAATGGGGAAAATTAGATTGCACAATATACACATTGAGAAGTAAATGGTGATTTCAAGAATACAATGTGTGTATCGTGTAATTATAATGTGAAGATTACACTTTCTGGAAAAAATTCGTTATGCTAAACATCACATCTGTCAATGAATGAACAAAATGCTGTGTCAGTGGTTAAATATTTCGAAGTACAATACGAGGCCCAGATATAACCTCAAATCATGGCATTACAACTTCTACTAGTATTCCCCGGGTATATGAAGTTAATATCAATAATATTATATAATGGCTAATATAAATTTACCTGCGTGAATCACGTCCACATACTCTAGCTGGCGTCTGATGGGAATTTTCACCCAAACTGATTGATCTGAATAATGAATTTCTCTCAACGCTTCTTGCCTCCAGCTCGGACCAACATCAGCTGATAATGCATTCAAATCTTCCAAATAACTGTTATCATCCTCCGTAAACATCCTGTTGATTGAACCGATATAATAACAAGACAGCCCCACAATAAATACATAGGCACTCGCACTCAACAGACACCTATACTCGGATAGATCCCGGCCGGTCTCGTGGCGGAAGAACGCGTCGGAGACGCTGCGTTACCGACGTTCACACCGTACGGTGTAAAAAATCATCTACGCCCGGTGTCGTGTTGCATCCGTACGGTGTTAAACGAAATTCTCGCGGAGTGAAATCTTGAAGATAACACTATTCAGTGTTAAACTCGAGCGTTACGATCGATTAACACTGGATAGTGTGAAATGGACCCTTTTTAATCCTTCTCGGTGTTAATAAAATGATCAACACCATCTCCAAGTTTAACGAAATGCCCGGTGTTGATTCTACTCCGAAATTCGGTTAATTTTAACACCAAAATATTTCACTCCGCACACCGTGGACTCGAACACCGTGGATTTTTTAATACCTTAAATTAGTGATTGATGAAATACTTAAAATTTGAATATTTGAATTGATGATATTTATTTAATCAAAAATTACAAGGTTGGTGTTTTTTCAACTTAAGGGCTCAAAAGTAATAGTAATAAAATATTACAAATTTGGCTATCCCTGAGCGAAACGTCGCGATTTGACAATAAATTAGTATTGCTGAACTCTTCCAACATCCCATTAATTATTCCTCTTATTGTTAACCATGGAAATGAACAACGTCATCAATTAAGCAGAAACCTTTACCTGTTGACGACCCGGACAGCACCTTTGACCGCTCAATGCAGCAGACCATAGAAGAAGTGGAGAAAATCGGTCTGCATCATCAAGAGGATTATTACCACAGAATCCTCACTGCCACAAATTGTAGCATCACGGGCGTCCTCGGGCTAGCTACCATTATCGGGGGTATCATAGCATACCAAAAGGGGGCCACCCTCCTCAGCCTCGCCCTTTGCTGCCGAGGGAAATCCAAGCAGTGAGAGAGAGGGGGGGGGGGAAACCTGCACCCCGGGAACCCCCTACCATAGAACGAGTCATGGAAACCCCAATCTCCACCATGATTCTGCCTGAAGAAGTAATATCGGTACCAGCCACGCCGTCTCAGCCCCCACCAGCATTGAAGAAAACCGATGTGAAGTTAGCAGAGACCCAGCAGTCAACAGCTCAACCCTTGGCCGTGCGTATACGTATGTAGGGAGATAAGTACTGCCACCCCTAATCAGAAAAAAAAATTGTTCATATACCTTTAAAAAAAAAAATTATATATATATACATATAACAAACATAATATAACCAAAATATAGCAAAATATAGCATAGATAGAATAAATTGAAGTAGCTCCGCCCTTATAACAAATCCAAAAACTACATTCAAAATTTTCTGGAAAACTCGACCACATTTGAGAATTTGTTTTTTTCACCTATTCAAAAAAAAAAAAAATTATCAGTACCTTGTGAAATACTTGAATTTCTCCCCAAATTCTTCTAGTTGACAAATTCAAAATTGTCCGACCTGAGGGTGGAGCTACCTCAAGGTGAATGACAAAAATAATCATTACCATATCATCAGTTAATAATCCATTATCATCATCAATCTTGAAATTAATTAATTAAAGCAAGAAATTAATACTTTGAATATCAATATCCAACAGCAGCCAGGCGTTAATAGGTTATATTTTTCGGGTCAATTTCGGCACCTGGCAGGGAACAATTAAAAATTCTCTCGAAATCGGACCCCGTTACCATTGTTAACGATATTGTCATTAACAATACGGGATATACAATAACCCAAACCCCGATACAGCAAATCATCCGAAAAACAAAACAACACTTCCTTGAAATGTCAAGTTATCATAGCGAGGGAATGATATCCCTGTATTTCAATGCAACCAGAAATGAATTCACATCGTAAGAAAATTTATCGTAAATTTTTCATCGTATTTTATATCGTAAGAAAAGGGAGGCGAGGGAGAATAGTAATTACCTCGAGATAGGTGGAAAGCTTTAACATCTAAATCATCCAAAGATGCAAAATCACTATCGATCAACACCACAGTCACTGTCCGACGCCATCTTCGGGGAGGGGTTACCGTCCGCAAACGCGCCTGCATGTGCTTCACTACCATTGATCACATACGGCCCCAACGGAAAGTCCCTAGCAATCCTCATGTAAATCGCATCAAAAAAATTCAAATCCAACACAAGCATGCCTACCTCGAAGTAATAATGTTTGATCACAATTCTGTTTATTTCTCATCTCCATAGTACATCACCAAATAACAAAAAAAAAAAACTTAAATCACTACATATCCTCAACCTGCCTCCGATACTCGTCCTCCATCATCTCCACCAATTCATCTTCTTTCCGAGCTAGAACTTCTTCCAAATCCTCCGGCAACCCAGCCAACCCAAAACCAGTAACCAAGACTTTATACAGCTCGACCGAAATCTTGAATCCAAACCTATAAAAAAAAAAATACAAAAAAAAATTAACATGTATGTATGTATCCATGAAATCCCCATTAAAATACAAAAAAAAAACAACCACTTACCCTAACACACTTCCGGAAATGAAAGAAACGCCACATAGTATCCTCATCGAGACCCCTATCGTTCCCCAACAGCAAATTACCACTTAACCAAGGTTCGTATTCGGGGAAAACAATCCCCTGATTTATCACATCCAACCACTCCTTAATCGCGCTCACCAGGAGAACGAACCCCTGAATGCGCGCCAAAAATCGCAGCCAAACAGCACCTCAATTTCCGCCCACGAACCGCTCATGTACGTGCAGAACTAAATCCTGAATCTCCTCCACACCTCTAACAAACGGGTCCCCGCCCACATAATCTGGCACTAAAATAGGCAGAACTGGCTCCTCTGGGGAAAAGAAATCATCCATCATCGCTACCCCTTCCTCCCCGGACCATAGATCCACCAGATAGTCCAATGCCGCTTCAGAAAAACCCCCCACCCCAGGGCTTCCCTCCGTTTCAGCAAGCATCCTTTTGAACTAAAATAAAAGACCCTTTATTCAAAAAAAAAAAAAATTAGCCAAATAGAAATCAAGCGACGAGTCACTTACCTGTAGTATCTTTAACACACAAGCACTAAGTCGCAACTAAAACTAAAATGACGAAAAATACGTAAAAAAAAAAAAACCAAAACACGGGCGTCAACATCCCCCCGAACAGTGACCTCGGACAAACTGCAAGGTCGGAACCACTGCATATTCCGAGAATCAAATCTCTCTCTCTTTTTTTTTCCTTTCTTTCTTTAAGACCGATTTCACGACGAATGTATCAAGCAATAACGATCTTGAGCGGGGGCTGTGATTTCCGCAAATTTATTCCATTAATTTTAAAAGAAAATTATATCCTAAAACCTCCCATAGTCGTTGAAATGAGGGTCTCTCAATACAGAACACAAACAAAAACCCCGAGTCAGAAAATTCTATCCCAGCAACGAGGATAGAATAGGAACAATTATCCACATTGAGAAATCCTCATTCCAAACGAATTTCAGCAACATTAACCCAATGTCGAAATATTAAGAAACAAACTGCAATGGCAATTTCAACAACCAATAGAAATTGAACACGCGAAAACCATCGAACACCCACGCACCAGAATTCGAGAAAAACTTTAACCAGTCAACCTTCGGGAAATTTGTAGCTTCTCTCGCGTAGAATAAACTAACGGGTCGAGTTCTCCGGTGGATTCCGCAGAGCCGAAATCGAGGTTTGTCGGAAACGGCATCGGGAAAGCGTCTCAAATTTTGGTGCAGTTACCGGGTGTTCTGTGTCAGTGGCTTCGCACTCAAAAACTTTTTCTATAAAACTCCAGCTGAATTTTAGAATAGAGGAAGAAAGTCTACTTCCAACCGCCAGTAGTACACACGGCATACGGATAGTGAAATTTCTGCGCTAGTGCGAACCCCGGGGAAGAAAAGACTCAAGAATAATGTGAACTTTTAAGTTATAATTCAAAAAAGTGTAATAGGTGTTGTAACATGATAGACTATAAGCGAAAAAAAAAAGAAAATTAGTTGAAGATAAAATTGGATAAAGAGCACGCAACCCCAGCCGCTGAGCATCTGCAAATAGTGAGCACCAAGCTCATTCAAGCGTTTAGGACTTCATCCAGTAGGAAAAGAAAAGAACAAATTATAATAAAAATTGTAGTGAAAAGGGAAAATCTCGCGGGTATAGCATAGGGAATCTTGTCTTTGTATTTTCTCCAGCAAAACAGGTACTCTATTCCCAGAATTGCCACTAGTTGTAGTAAATTGTAAAATCAGTTTCAAATGTTTTAAAATACATAGAAAAGGGTTCAAAAGAACTAAGGTGTTTTGGCATCCATTGTTTCCCCCAGCCCCCTTCCTAGCACCTCTTAAATAAATTCAGAACTCTCAGGAACGAGCAACGGTAGGTTTCTAGAAAAACAAGCGTCGTCCTCAAAACAAAAATAAGAGAAGTAGGAGACTTGACTTTTGAAGTCTTCTACTGATAATTTCTATTCTTGTCGCGGAGATAACTCGCGAACTTAGTTGAGACTTATCCTCCGACGCTGGATAACGTCTCCGAACATAACAAAAACTATGCGGCCACGCATTCTTATCGTATTTTTCTTTACTTTTCTCCTTTGCTCTTTGCAAATTTTCAGCGGCAGAAGCTTGAGTGGTGGTGATCTTTACGAATAAATTATCGAGAAAGTCTATGAAAGTGCGCTCAACTCGTTCATTCGCGAATTCAGATGGGATTGTCGCTCTCTCGCCAAATAAATTTCCTTCAATCTCTTAAATGAAAAATAGCCTTTTGAAGGTGGAGCTACTTAAATATAAAAGTATATCGTTGAGGGAAGATAAAAAATCTTCGAATGGAGTAGGAATTTGTATTACGGGGAATCCCCGACGGCTGGGCTCCGCAAGGTTCAACGCATTTGTATTTACGGAGGAACTCCGCTATTGAGAGAAGAATGGTGGCCCTGCCTATCCTGATGAGTCATTTCATGATTTTTTTTTCTAATCCTTTGATACAAAATTATTCTACTTGGTATAATTTTTTTACAAATAGTCTAACCGTTCCGGAATCGCTTGATAATTTGATATTTTCATTTGAAATCATTGTATTCTATTTTGTGATATATTAAGGTTGAAGAATAAAGACATGAATATTCGAATAATCAGTAATTACACACAAGATCGAAATATCGTAAATGAGTTTGACCCATTGATTCCCATTATGACCGACTGGTTATGAAAATGGCACACTCATCTCTCTTTTGATTAGCTTGAATTATTTTCTATTTATTCATTTATTTACCTAAATAATGCGAAGATATTGTATCCAAATCCAAATGTTGATAAAGACTTACGAACACTGACAATGAAATTTCACGTATAAAAATTAAAATCTCATAAATTCCTATTGATTCCAAGTGACCAGTAATGTATCGAGCTCCCCCCTTATTTAACTGGTTTATAACGATAAATTAATCGTAAACTACTTTTAACTTCATGATTCAAAAACTACGATTAAAATTTCCAACTATACACACCGAATCACCTCGATTCTCACTGATTCCATTCAGGGAGAGGACAAAATACGTGGAGTAATAGAAATGAAAAACAAGCTCATTAAAGTGACAGACATGCTAATCAATAGGTGACTGATGTTGCATAAAGATAATCCAATTCTTGTGGTTCATGATAATATTCACATGGAAAATGTCTCTCATTGATATTGCAGGTTTCTCATGTGTTCCAACCAAATTATTGATATGCGAATTAGACTATTGAGAAGAGAGGATTACCCCTCAACCTTAGAAATCATAACCAACGTGATTGCTAAATTAGACAAATGAGAATCAGTCTTCACCGTGCACTCTCATTGATTCCTATTACCAACCGGTTATCTCTCTCATCCTGAAAGCTCAATCTTAAACCGACATATTTCAGTAAAAAAAAAAAATGAACACTCACGAAGTCTTATGAACAATTTATTCTGTCACTTGAACACTTCTTTATCCAGTAATCTTTTATCTGCCTACCTACGTCGACCAGACGTTTTGCTAAGAAAGAGGAGAATCCGCAACAACAAGACAGGGTTTCATACCCTACAGCGATACAAAACAATCTCTGCACTGACTCGTATTGGCGAAGACACCAGACTCGCCACCACAAAATTCGTAGAGAATGAGATGTAGAGATAGAGAGATGTGATGTCTATAGAACATGTGAAGGTACTGCCCTCTGTCGGTAAAAACGAACCAACGAAAATTCCTGGTTTATTTTTCTTACTCCACATTACAACAATCAGAAATTAAATTGAATGTAAAAAAAGGAACGAAACACAGTAATAATCATAATTATATATTACCCCTTCATTAGTAAAAAATAATGAAGTTCATAATACCAAACATACATTCAGGGCTTTGGGGTGGCTGCACTGGTCCGAGTAGTCAGTTGCCTGGTGTCTACACCGTGGTACGTTTGCTCCGAAATAGAACTCGTGTGATGGTTTCCGAATTTTCCAACAAAAAATTAGTTCTGAGCACGAGAATAATTGAAGAATTTTGTGAGAAAGGTTGTGAGGGTCACAGAGAGAACTTGTAAATACCTGTGAGTAATTTTCCTTGGATTTAACTCAGATCTGTGAATGAGAGATATAGGTTTCATGAGAGCAGTCACTATTGTAATGAGAATTAATGGGGAAAGTAGGTTTGCGGTGTGTTTTGAAGATATTTTTCAATTTCCTTTCACTTGAAGAGTGATTTATTCAGGAAATTTCAATTTTTTATCAGTGTATTTAAAAAAAGAAAACGAGGCCGAAACAATTGCGAAGTTGAGAAGCTGTGCATTAAAAAGTGGATTCTTCATGTTCATGCTAATTTGTATGAATCCAAATCTAGAAAACTCTAATTTTTATTTTCGGGAATAGATTTTGAAAGTAAATTTGTAAGGGGACCTCGAGATATACTTCGAAATCGTAGAATATTTGATGAATCTCCCAGGAGAACCATCGCCGGAGATCAATCGGAATCAATAAGATCGAATGCTTAGCATCATC